CTCGGTGTCTTCACCAGAGTGAGATCTTTCGAGTGGTGAGAAGGGATCAGCTGAAGACTCCAAGGGGTGATGCCCAATAGTGGAGATCCTTGGGGTCACAGGTACATACAGTCCTCGAGTTACAACGGTCATGACCATGGGAAAGCAGGTCACCAGGTAAGTGGACCCAATTTTACAACATTTTTCATAGTGGTCATTAAGCTGCAGACGTTAACTGAATCCATTATTCAGTGTGCGGTGGGTTTTGTCAGGAACCTGAAGTAAATACCATTTTTCTTTTTCTTTTTAATAATATTTTATTAATTTTCCGATTTTACATTTGAATATTTAAAAAGCAACATGGTGACTGGGTTAATCAATAGCTCAATAACAAAATCTTAGTGCAAATCTCAGGCTACAACATCAAATGTTTCTTCTCTTTTTCCCTTAACACTTACTGTCTCATGTTCAGGTTGGTACATTTCTAATTATATCAATTCAATAAGAACATCATTATTACATTTATCAATAAATTTTTAGCTTATACATATCTTAATTACATTCAATTTTCATAAACAATCCATATCCTCTTATTGCTTTTGACTCAATTTTTAATTTCTTATCAATATTCCAATTTAACCTTTGATATTTATAATTTTCAGACTTTGGGTAACCAAAATTTCCCTTATCTCACTTCATAACAAACTATAATATCCAAAATACACACTTTATCTATTTAAATATAATCTTATTCTATTTCCTAAGAGTTATCTATTTCCCACCATATATAATAATAATAATAATAATAATAATATAATAATAATAATAATAATAATAATAATATAATGATGATAATAATAATAATAATAATAATAATAATAATAATAATAATAATAATAATAATAATAATAATAATAATAATAATAATAATAATAATAATGGACAAATGCATATAAAGTCAAAATTGAGAAGACAGCAAACGACAGTAAGTGCCGCCTATGCAAAGAAACTGAAGAAACAGTGGACCACCTGGTAAGCTGCTGCAAGAAGNGACCTTGGAGGTCATCTAGTCCAACCCCCTGCTCAGGCAGGAAACCCTATACCATTTCGGACAAATGGCTGTCCAGTTTCTTCTTAAAAACTTCCAGTGTTGGCGCATTCACCGCTTCTGGAGGCAGGTTGTTCCACTGGTTAATTGTTCTAACTGTCAGGAAGTTTCTCCTTAGTTCTAGGTTGCTTCTCTCCTTGATCAGTTTCCATCCCTTGCTTCTTGTCCTGCCTTCAAGCGCTTTGGAAAATATCTTGACTCCCTCTTCTTTGTGGCAGCCCCTGAGATATTGGAATACTGCTATCATGTTCCCCCTCGACCTTCTCGTCATTAAAGTAGACATACCCAATTCCAGCAACCGTTCCTTATATGTTTCAGCCTCCAGTCCCCTAATCATCTTTGTTGCTCTTCTCTGTACTCTTTCCAGAGTCTCAACATCTTTTTTACATCGTGGTGATATCCCCTTTAATAAATCAAAACGATTATATATATTGCCTGGGTTAATCAATAAATCAAACATTCATAGTATTTAATTTTCTTTTCCCTTTTAGATCTAATTTTTAAATATTGAATCGATAAAATTCTTATTTTCGACTGATTTCCAAATATTTTAAATCTAATAACCAAAATTCCCCTTGTCTCAACTTCTCCCTTTAACCCACTAATTGGCAATATAAAACCCCCTCTAATGAATCAAAATCCCAGTTTTTTCAACCTAGCTTTCTTCTTTTGCCAACTAGGCTTCCATATCAATGCCTTTAAATCATCAAATAGATCTCCCATTAGTCTGATATATGTTATTTGAAATAAAGGAGATCATATGATTGTCAGTTTTTTGGAAGGACTAGCCCATTTGTATTCGTTAATTTGTCTCCCTGTTACAATTTAATCTGTTCTACTTCTTTCTCAAATTTCTTCTGATTCATATAGAAAGTCATTTCCATTTTCAATGTTGTCACTTCCTTTTGTGGATTTTCCATCAGCTAAAAGAATGGTTTCATGTATTGCTTTCAACATAGAAAGAATCTTTTCCTGGTCTTCATCCATCTCTTTCACTTATTTATAGTCTTTCTAATAAAAGTTATTTGTTAAGCAAAAGTCAGTAAAGGTTTACATTCACAGTTCAAATAGGCCAATTTTGCTGCCCAGCTGTTCTCTTCCAGCTGAGTCTTTCACAGATAGTACCAAGGTCAAGGAGGTCTTATCAAGATCTGGGCTTTGAGCCAAGTCTCTTTTTAGGAAATAACAAATTGCAATACCATCACCACAAGATGTCACCGATGCCATTTAGAGTTTTTTAAGTCCGGAATTTTTCTAATTCTTTTTCCAATTTTATTTCTTTTGTGTAGATAAAAACAAAAGTCTTCTATAGAAATAGTAAAGTTTTTGGTCCTCAAGTTTCAGGAACATATAAATCCAATTAGTGTTATGGTTCCGGCTAATGAAACACTTCAAAGAATTTCCAGGCATTGATTTTCCTAAAAGTCATTTATTGTTACAAAATGTCGGCACAGGCATAACGAAGGTATGCCAAGATCTAAATTCCCCTGAGCAATTAAAATTATCAGCATGTTCCCTCCCTAAATTAGCTGCCATATATCACATTATCCAATTAGTGTGAAGGTCAAAGGTTTCCTTCCTCTCTCTTTCCCGGGCTTTTCCCTCCACCCTCTTCTGCTCTGCATTAACTCTAAAAATACCAGACAGTTCTGCATATTGTCAAAGCAAGAATATACAGTATTTGCAGCGTTGACAATTAGATTACAGTTGTTCTTTTTAATGCTTTGATTCCCCAGGGTAGTCAGACGCCGCTATTCTTAGAGGGTGGGATAGAAATTCCCCCCCTCTCTCCTCACAGGGGGAAGATGGCATCGGACCTGGATACCTCCGAGACCGCCTTCTGCCACAGATTCCCTCTCACAGACCGGTACGCTCCCACAGAGCGGGCCTCCTCAGGGTGCCGTCGGCCAAGCAGTGTCGGCTGGCGACCCCCAGGGGGAGGGCCTTCTCTGTGGGTGCCCCCACCCTCTGGAACGAACTACCCCCCGAGATCCGGACGATTCC